GTTATAGAGCTGTTAGATTAATTTGTATTTTAAGAATAATGACTAAAGGATTTCACCCCAAATACAGTATAAATGTGTGAACGGTGTTAAGAGTTATAATGTAGTGGCAACCCACTAACAGAGGGGGGCGGGACTAAACATTCCAGGGTGAAGGAGACTGCGGAAACTGTTTAAGAAAGCCTCCTAAAGGTGGGCGGAGCAAAGTGCCTTTGTGTGTCAAGGGGTATAAAACAGTAGTGTATGGGTTTTGGCGCCAGAGCTCTCCATGAATAAAAATACAGATCATTCTTGCTGGTTGTGGACCTTGAATCATTTATGATTAAAACCAGGGCCTTACAACCCCTGGTAATGATTCAAGCTTAGGTTGAATTAGAGATAGAAATTCTCATGACAAGAGCAAACAACGCAATTATCACCACACGTGATAATTGGCTTCCCTGGTGATTTTACCAACGCACAGCTACTGATACAGCACAAACAGATCTGGGACCAGCCTTAGCATTGCCTCTCAAGGCAACAAATAAACACCATCACCAGGCAGCAACCACTATGAATGCCCTTGTGTCTACAAATAGAAGTTCTGTTCTGCTGCTCCTCTAAACTGCCTGCCAACAGCCTCCATGACGATGGAGCATCACCATGTCTGAGTCCCAAATGGCAACCTATGCCCTATGGGCCCTGGTCAAAAATAGTGCACTTTATAGAGAATAGGGTGCCATTTGGGATGCAGCCCGTGCAGTGTAATAAACAGCGTTTATAGGAGAACCTCCAGCACCACTTCCTCCATTCTACACCATAAAGACTGAAATAACTATCAATCTGCTTGCACCCATTAATTCACTGCATCTTGAATTAGGGTATTTATTTGGTTTGATAACTTCTTGATTGGGGCATTTTTGTTATATTTAGTTATTTTACAACACTGTTTGTATTTCATGTACATGATGGTGGCTTCCAAGCTTGATATAAAAGCACAGCTGTCTTTGGCGTGCCTTCTAATTTGCCGATATCCCTCCTCACATTGTAATCACTTCTCCTATAACCTATTTCCTCCTCTTTTCCTCCTTCACCCTATCATTCTCCTGTACTTTGCTTCTTTCTAGCTCACCATGCTGGTTGTCAAGATGTGTGGATGGTGGAATCCCCATACCCTTCACTACTCCAGGCTTTGGTTTCTTCAAGAACTCATCAGGAAAGATGGACAAAATCTCTCAAGTATGTCGTGAAACAAAAAAATGTCCCCCATAGATCCACATTACTAGTCTGAAACAATACTGAAAGAGAACAATATTTAGTTTGGATTCCAGGCTAATACACTACTAACTCATTTTGTCCTTGCCCTCAGTTTATCACAAGATTATTTTTGATCCTCTTCTGACCAAATTCAGACACTTTATTTAGGAATGTGTTGTTTATTTATGTATATCCTGGTTTCCGCAGCGACCACCAGTGCAGGACAGTTGGGTGTTGGTGTGGTGATGTGAGGCTTGTTACTGTGGAGACAGAGTTTATCCTCTGGGGCCTCTCAGACGGACGGACCTCTTTCCTACCCCTGCTCAAAAACACGCGCACGCACACATGCACACGCACTCACACACACCGAAGAGGCTCTAAACAGCCAGCCAATATGCCTACGATCCTATCAGCCTGACCCAGACAGACAAACAGGCACACACACACACACACACACACAGTGAGGACAGTGGGCTTGGCATCCACAGCAGATGACTCAGCGAGGAAAATATGATAGTGGGTCAAATTGAGCTGTACAGTCTGTGGTGGGAGAGAGAGAAACTTGCCTACCCTCATGGCTGTGTGTAATAGAGGGCAGCCCACCCACGTAGCTCACAGAAGACAGGAGGAGATGAGCAGAAGCTTTTGCTGCTGGGTTAGAGAAGTTCAAGACTACTGGGAACTCTGGCTATGTCCCAAATGACACCCCAAAAGTGCCAAAAGGCTGTATAGTGCACCATTTTTAATTTTTAATAGGGTAGGGTTTTCATCTCGCCTCTTTAATCACGATGACAGACTCTTTTCCTCTCAACTGAACTTTTATAAAGAAATAATTTGTCATTTTCTGTGTTTTTCTCAGTTAACTGTTATAATAACTGTTCAAATTCCCTGTGTTCTGTTTATATCAGATGCAACATTCATGGGGTGTGTCTGTTATACATTTACATTACATTTGAGTCATTTAGCAGACACTCTTATCCAGAGCGACTTACAGTTAGTGAATACATATTTGTTTTTATACTGGCCCCCCGTGGGAATCAAACCCACAACCCTGGCGTTGCAAACGCCATGCTCTATCAACTGAGCTACATCCCTGCCGGCCATTCCCTCCCCTACCCTGGACGACGCTGGGCCAATTGTGCGCCGCCCATGAGTCTCCCGGTCGTGGCCAGCTGCGACAGAGCCTGGATTCGAACCAGGATCTCTAGTGGCACAGTTAGCACTGCGATGCAGTGCCTTAGACCACTGCGCCACTATACACTCCACTAGTGGTGTAAAGTACTTAAGTAAAAATACTTTTGCTTTTACTTCACTACATTCGTAAAGAAAATTATGTACTTTTTGCTGACACCCAAAAGTACTCGTTACATTTTCAATGCTTAGCAGCACAGGAAAATGGTCCAATTCACACACTTATCAAGAGAACATCCCTCGTCATCCCTGCTGCCTCTGATCTGGCGGACTCACTAAACACAAATGCTTTATTTGTAAATGATGTCTGAGTGTTGGAGTGTACCCCTGGCTATCCATAAATAAATAAAAACAAGAAAATTGTGCCGGAATAAGAAATTATTTATACTTTTACTTGTACTTTTGATACTAAAGTATATTTTAGCAATTACATTTACTTTTGATACTTAAGTATATTTAAAACCTTTTACTAGACTTTTACTCAAGTAGTATTTTACTGGGTGACTTTCACTTTTACTTGAGTCATTTTCTATTAAGGTATCTTTACTTTTACTCAGTATGACAATTGAGTACTTTTTCCACCACTGCACTGCAGGGTCAAAGTTCAGAGAAAGACTAGGGCCTCTATTCAATCTGTAAAGCTGAAGCGTTACAGACACTGCGATAGAAATGTACGGTAATTTCAGATTGAGCCGACATATGCAGTGTTTAATCTGAATGCAGTCTCCGCTATAGCGGAACATTGCCGTTAAATTTAAATCATGCTGTAAAGCTGAACTTCCGCGATGTGGATTGAATAGAGCCCTAGCAGGTCCCAGATCTGTTTATGCTGTATAGCCAACTCCTATATGGCCAATGGCAAGACAGAACAAACAGATGTAGGACCAGGCTATAGAAACACCCTGAGTGGGAGAAATGGTAAGAGTATTCAGTGATGAGCGTGGGTAATGCTTAACAGTCATGATGAATGAAAAATCCTGTAAGCTAAACTAGCCTAATCCCCAAAAGGCATGCAATGCAATAAAATAATACCTCTGGTCAAACTTCTCAATTTTACCACCTGGCCCTCAGCTGCCTGCTCAGCCAAAACACACAGAATACAACTCATCCAAGACAGGCAACAGCAATCTCCTCTTTTCTCCCCTCTTTTCACTGAGACAGGGGGGCAAGGAAACCCCTCATTGGATGTCATGGACGACATGCAGGCGGAATTAAATGGCTAATGTATGGATGGCTACAATGGCAGATGGGATTCAGTTTCCCATGGTAACTGTGGGGGGGGGGGGGGGTGGGAACAGAACAGAACAATTAAGTGTTTGTATGTGTCTTAGGGCCTTGATGTCAGACTGATGGGAAAGAATAGATTATATTTCTATGGATGGGATGCCCACAGTGCATGATACAGTAGGAGAGAGAGGAGACTTAAGCAGATTTAAAGCCACAGCTAATTTGTGTTTCAACAAACAGCAGCCCTAAAACTCTATAAAGCTGATGGATGCTGTATGTCAGTGGGTATACCATGAATTGAAATGAGAATTAAACAGCTATACATTTAGCAGATTGCCCCTTTAATGTCTCTGCTAAGTCATACAGATACAGACCCTTCCACCTGCTTGCCCTGCATGTCTGTGTCTGTCTTCTCATTCCAATGGGACGAGCTGAAACCTATTAGAGACATATGTTTTATACATCCAGCACATATACCGCATATGCCTGAAACCATTATGAATGTGTAGATTGAGGAAGAAAGAGATAACAATGTTTGCATTTTTGACCTTTTTTTATTATTTGAAAAAGAAATACCCTGACCCTGGACATAGAAACGTACAGACACCTGGGTGAAAAATATTTCAAAAACAGTTATTTAATTTACAGAGCAAACTACTTTAAGATGTCGGTTGGTTTTTCAGGCACTTAGAATCACAAAAGTCTGTTATTTGGTCCTTACATCTTCAAATGAAAAGGTCAGTTGAAACCACAGTCAGAACAGAATACAGATTTCTGGTTTCTTATTTACATTTCCTTTTATGAATCCAAATACACTTAGTCCCTTATCAAGACTGGGAAATTGAAAAGTTCTTCCATCACATTTCAACCGTTCTCCACACATCAAAATAGACCACCAGTCTTCACCGTACATATAACAAAAGAAGCCAACACTTCAGAAAAAAAAACGAACAAACATCATAACAACGGCTCCAATCAGATTTACAGCAGTATTCATTGATATAACTTAGTGGGAAGGGTTGCAATTGAAGATTTGGCAAAAAGATACAATTCAATACAAATGTTACCTTTTTTTTTGGTCCTCATTGGACTTTGTCCTCAAGTCTCCCACAAGAAGCCATTTTGCTACAGGTGGACTGAGCAAAGCACTCTATCAAATTGCTCAGCTCACGTTACCATAAGACAGAGGGTGTGTCTCAAATGGCACCCTATTCCCTATATAGTTTCCTGGTCATATAAAGTACTGCACTATATAGGGAATAGGGTACCATTTGGGACTCACACAGAGAAACTAGAAACTTAAAAAATACAACAACATAGTCCTCTTATGCTCCACTGATCCACATCACTCAGCTGCAAGGCAGCCATGTTCTGTGGTAAGAGCTACTATAGGAGTTACTCATGGGCGACTGGACCCGCGCTATGTAGTAGTTACTGAAGTTGACGTCCCTGACGTAAGGCGCCGGCTGGTAGTAACAGGTGATGTTAGCCAGGGCCGGGATGGCGTTCTGCTCCGCCATGGCCCGTAGCGCCAGCGCCGAGATCAGTGCCAGCGTCTGGCGGCGCTCGTGGCCCATCAGGCACACGGTGCTCTCGTCCACCACATGCCGCAGCGTCACCAGGCAGTCGTAGCGCTTGTCCTCCATGCCGTTGAAGTGGTTCTGGAGATACGCCTCTAGCTTACGCTGCTGCTCGCCGATGTCTGGGAAGTCGATGAAGAAGCGAGAGCACATGTAGCGTTGCAGCAGCTTCATCTGAGCCTCTGAGTCCGGTTTAAACCCCCGTACTAGCAGGTGGCAGTACTTCAGCAGTCCTCCTCCCCGGATCTCCTCGGGGCTGCGCGTGGCGATGGTCCTGGTGCGGAGGTGTCCCAGGGCCTCCTGGAAGTCCCCGTACATGCTCTCTCCGACCACGGTGGGGTGGAAACTCTCAGACATGGACATGGCCGTCTCTGAGCAGCGGTCGAACAGCAGCAGTGAGTCCAGGCCGATCTGGAACGAGTCCACGCTGAACTCAAACTGCCTCCGCAGGGAGTCCACAAACTTCAGCTCCACGTTCTTCCCCGTGTTGTTGGAGAGGGAGATCAGGCTCCAGCGGTCTGTGTCGTTGCACACCTTCACCAGCTTCTGGACATAGGCCTCTTTGAGGGTGATGGACGAGACACGGCTGAGCCCCGGAGGTAGGAAGTCCACCAGGCTGTCCAGGACCACGTCTTTGACCACACGGAAGGTCTTGTCATCGGTCAGGTTCAGGCCGAAAATGAGGTCCAGGTCCTTGTAGCCCAGGCCGGTGTCCTGGTGGAGCACATAGCTGGCTGCTGAACCGTTCAGCTTCACATCCCGGACCACCACACCACGCTCGTGCAGACGTGCCCGAACCACCTGCACAGGAAAGAGAGAGACATGGGTGAGGGATCTGAGAGATATTGTTAGAAGGACACTTTATTGTCCATTTTCTTTTCTGATCAAATATGTATATATATTTTTTGCTTTCAAGTGATCTGAAAGGGGGTGTCAAACTCATTCCATGGAGGGCCAACTGTCTGCTGATTTCTTTTTTTCTTTCAATTAAGACCTAGACAACCAGGTGAGGGGAGTTCCTACCTAATTAGTGACCTTAACTGATCAATCAAGTACAAGGGTGGAGTGAAAACCTGCAGACACTCGACGCTCCATGGAATGAGTTTGACACCTGTGTGATAGAGCGATATCTATGAGTGATATGCGGCCGAGATATGTTAGTGATCTAAGAGAGAGATATCCATACAATCTAGGGTGATTCATTCAAAGAACGATGCACTGAAAATGCATGCAATGCACTGAAAATACATGCCACTGCAAGTTGAAACGTAGCTTTCATGGTTACTGCCTCTTCTTTTGAAATGGTAATATTTACATTTCAATCAAGTAATGGTTCACCTAGCTTTCAGCTAATGTTCGTAACAGTAAAGAAAAAATACTAGCATCCAATAATTTGTTGTGTGGATGAGAATAGAGAGCGACTCAGGGGGACGTAAAGAGGAACCAAGCAGTAAATGGGTCGTTCCACGAAAATACTTCCTTTTGCGTTCCTTTGATATTTTAATTAGAAATTGTGCACCAATATTGAATTTTAAAAGCCTGTTATATTAAATGAAGTTCCCTTTAATCATAGTGTAAAAACATGTGAGCTGGTTCTACATTTTGGGCCATTTTCTAGTGTTTTGTGGTGGAAAACTGAGCGGGTCGAGCGTAACACGTCAACCCTGTTACCTATAGATAGACGGGATAGAAATGTTTTAGCAATTCATTTTGCATTCAATTTGCCACTTCCTGTTGCACACAACAAACCTCCATTCATTTATGGCTGATTTAAGATGAAATTGTCAACCCCTGTTACGGTCAACCCTGTCACTTTGCTATAGTAATTTTTTTATTTAACCTCTTGAGATGGGAAAACATGCGTTTTACTAAGTTGAACATGTGCTCTTTATGACAGAATGTTAAAATTAGGTGAAATCAAGTTACACTTATCAAAAGGCACTGAATTAGTGGAACGGCCCAAATAATGACAAGCAACAACATGGAAAAACAAATGTAATCATTAATTATCAAAACATTGTGAGAACAGTTTCTGTTTTTGCAATACACAGCCTTTTAATTTGTTCATATACTCCTTATTGCCATTAAAAAAAGACAAATGTCTCTTTCTCTCACGCAGAGAGATGTGACACTGAAGAAATGAACAGCCTCTGATTGGACAATAATATCCCCTATGTTTGCCAGCTAATTTATAGGCTCTTGTCCTACATATAGTCTCTCTTGTAAAAAGCCAACAATACAGAGTTAGCTCAGCTGTATGAACAAAGGTTATGCCTACAGTCCCCTTAGTAATGCATGGAGAATCAGAGATTTTTCTGTGGAACACAGCAAGCTAGTGCTTGTCTTATGTCTCTAACTTTTGGAGGAACTCCAGCTGACCTGAATTACCCATTACCCATCTCATATGTATATACTGTATTCTATACTATCTATTGCATCTTAGCCTATGCCACTCTGACAATGACGTTGCTCATCCATATATTTATATATTCTTATTCCATTCCTTTACTTAGATTTGTGTGTATTAGGTTTTTGTTGTGGAACTGTTAGATATTACCTGCTAGATATTGCTGCACTGTCGGAACTAGAAGCACAAGCATTTTGCTACACTCACAATAACATCTGCTAACCATGTGTATGTGACCATTACATTAGATTAGATTAGATTTGATTTGAAGAAACATTACAAATCTGTGAGACGTAGACAAATGGGGTTGGGTTGTGAACTTATAAACTCTGGTATGATTGTGCCATACTGAAAACATTTTTTTCCTATGTCGTCATATAAACAGCATACTGTACTTGGTAAAGATATGGTTCATGAGCTTATTGGGTCACAGAACATAACCGTCTGGGGTGGATCCTGAAGTTAAGGGAAGCTGCTGAACTAAAGGAAAGGCAGCTGAGACTGACTGTTACATCACTCCAAAGAGGAAAACAAGGAACTGGGACAATCCTTAACAGGCATGACCAGGGTTACCAAGTACACACACTTGGTCTCTTTACCCAGACACTGATCCAAGTATTCAACCAGGTATCTAGTCTGTATACTTACACAATCACATAACATCTATTTCCCTTTCCAGGTCGGATCAAGTTCACAAGTTAAGCATAAGATAGACATTACAACATCAGCTATCCACTCTCGTTACTATCAAAATACCTCTTTCATGCAGATGTTGTCCACAACTTTGCTACAGTGCCAACATTTCATTACAAAGTGGATATCTGTATCAGTCACCACACACAATGAAATATGGTTTTAACCAGCTCAGGATAGGAATGCTGGCTATACTATGCTTCCTGAACCACACTGGTTGAATCAACGTTGTTTCCACGTCATTTCAATGAAATTCCGTTGAACCAACGTGGAATAGATGTTGAATTGACGTCTGTGCCAAGTGGGGAGCCTGTACGTTTGTTTCGGAACACACGCACACGCACACATACACAAAGCCGTGCCAGAGAAATTAGGTTATGTTGGCTTCATCACTATGCCAGGAAAGGAGAGTCCTGCCAAGTCTCTGACTTAACATAGCTAGATCCCCATTCATGAATTTAGGTTTTACCAACCTAAAAACAAAGACAGACCAAAAAACAGACAAATTGAGACATGCATAATATGTGTGTTGGGGTCCCTCTCTGCCCAAACTCTTGCACAATCCTTCCTGGCCTTAATTGTAACCTCCTTTACCCAGAGCCAGAAACACACTGTGTCACTGTGTGATTGAAGAATATTAACATGGTATACAGCTACCGTGGCAGGATCCCAAGGGAAGGGGTAGTGCTACTCACAATGAAAAATGACACCACCATGAAAGGTCTATTGAGGAAAAGGTTCAAAACGTAAACTAAAGGTCAAGAAATAAAGAATGTTGAGTTTCAAAGCCAATCCGGTTTAGGGGCGGAAATAACAGAGAATTGATTTTCCAATAAAAGCAGTTTATGGAGCCCTGCTGTGCTCATATGTGCTGTGTTCCAGTGAGGAAAGCAATCTGTTTCTATTGGTAACCAACTTCTGGACAGATGGTCACTAATAAAAACATCCAGAATATTAAAAAGGCTTCTTCCTTCTTTCTGTGGAAACAAACACCAGAATATATATGAACCATTTCCCAGAGTCCTCATGGAATAATCAATTATGCATATATACTGGAATGTATGGTTCAATGAACACAGATGTATATGTATGTCTATTGGAATTAGGTTTAACTAAGCTAAAAGCAGTATTCATTATAATAAACAGTCCTAACTGCCTTACCAAACATAGGGTTGGGTATCAGGTATCAACCTGATGACACCATTAAGATAGTTATATATACTGCTAGCCTGACAAAAACGATGAGGAGGAAGTAGTTTCCCATAATATGGGCTGTGTGATATGTTACTGAGTCCAAGGACAAGTAGGTCTAACTGAATGGAATAGGTCAACCTGAATACCTCCAGGTATAATGCATTATGTGGTTATGATGACTTGTAAGACTTGCATTAAGCATGTATGACCCCCTTATAATGTCTTATAACACAAAAGGGCCTCCCAAAATAAGTAACCCCCTTTCTTCTACCTCCTCTCCAAAAGCAAGCCATTCCATTCCATTCCCACGTTACGCAACAAACACCGGGTGAAGTTGAGCTAAGGGGGGACACTTCCTCTCAACGTCGACCAGGAGAAGCAGGAGACTTATAAAAAAGCCACAAACTGACCAGACGGTGTGGTGTTGACAATGTCTTGGCGACACGTTATGTACAGTCTCTTTGCATTCCTACTCCAGTCTGGTGGGTTTCCTCTAGTATTTAATTTACCTCAGTCTGGGTGTATCCTAAATAGCACCCTATTCCCTATGTAGTGCACTATATAGGGAATAGGCTGCCATTTGGAACTCAACTTCAGTCTGACTGCAGCCTGAATGTGCTTTATGATTCAGTGAGAAAACAGACTCAGAAAGCTGTTAGCCAGCTAAACCCCATGGTCCCCTAGACACCAGTTAGAGCACTGCCTGGCCCAGACAGAGAGTCACAGAAAGACCCAGCCAAGCCAAGTAAATGGCATCAGTAAATGAATGAAATGTTCAGTAGTCTATGACCCTTGCATCCGGTCCAGTCAGACCAGAAGGCAAGCAAAGACACCCCAGTCATATTATACTCAGTGTACTGTCAGTAGGCTAGCAGGAACAGATTATGGGTTTTTCCTCAGAGGTGAATGAGTTGCCTTGCTGTGGGTGGTCACGGCACCTGAACCAGCTATTAAGCTGGACTAGTGGTAGTACAGCATTCATTTATAAAACTAGACTGGTATACAGTATTTATTATCATAAAACTAAACTGGTGATACATTATTTATTATCATAGAACTAGACCGATGATACAGTATTTATTCATAAAACTAGATTGGTTATAAAGCATTTATTCTACCTTTATGAGGTGAACTTTCACATCCAGATTCTAAAACGACTTCATTAAAAGAGATTTTACACTAAAGAGAGAGAGAGAGAGAGAGAGAGAGAGAGAGAGAGAGAGAGAGAGAGAGAGAGAGAGAGAGAGAGAGAGAGAGAGAGAGAGAGAGAGAGAGAGAGAGAGAGAGAGAGAGAGAGAGAGAGAGAGAGAGAGAGAGAGAGAGAGAGAGAGAGAGATTTGAAGAAATAACTAAAGTCAGGCATACCACCTCATTCTATGAGCCAATGTTGAGTTCAGCTGGCTTTCACCGCAATGGCCTCCTTGAAAGCCAGCAACAGGAAAGCACACGCCTATATGTAGAGGACTAACAGAGCTATACACTGTAGTGTATGCCCAAACTATGTTCCTTTCCTGTTACTCTATCTGTGGAGACGTGTGGTGTCATTGTATCGTTGAGTCTCACCAACAATAGACCGACAGAGGAGTTGGCTTACAATCTGGCAGGGCCCACAACAGAACCAGGTGACTGGGCTAGTATTGTGGTGTGTGAGTGTTTTGGGTCTACTCTTACCACAGTGATACCATGTAAACCTTGTCCTGACCCACTAAGGCCCCTGTTAGTGGAGTGACTAACGAACTAATCCAGTTTCCCCATCCTGCCCCAGAAATGGAAGCCATCGCCACCACCCAGGAAAGAAGAGCTCACTTCCAGTAAGCTCACAATGGTGAAACAAGAGCAGGGACGAAGAAATAACAAACAAAAAGGAAACCAGATCTTCCTCAGGCTTTGCCCTACTGTGCACTCAGTCAGTCTCTATTGTATTCTACTCTATTCTAGAATCTACACCCTGAATTAGATTTGAGCAAACCTGGAAAATGTGTGTTCCCTTTCCTTGGCTGGCCAAGCCAAGTAAAACAGGTTAGCCGCCATAGCTCTACCTCTACCACCTCCAGGAGCCCCCTACTGTTAACATAATGTAATATCTGATCTGACACACTAATAAACATTAAATGTCTGGATATGTAATCTCAGCTGGATAACACCACTGGGTAGGCCTAGTGGCTAGTGTGTATGTGTCACAGGAGGCTGCGGCGGGGAGGACGGCTCATAATAATGTCCGGAACGGAGCAAATGGAATGGCATCAAACACATGGAAATTCCATCCAACTATATTCTGCACCAGCCATTACCACGAACCCGTCCTCCCCAATTAAGGTGCCACCAACCTCCTGTGGTGTGTGTGTGTGTGCGTGTGTGTGTAGGTCTATTTTATACTTCCTCAGAACTGTCAACCCAATGTTGGCTTATCTACCCACAATCCACTGCACTAAATGAAGTGTGAGACTTCCTGTGTGCACTAAATCAGCAACAGTGAGACTTCTCTTTTACACCTCCCACGGCTCACACACACACACAGACAACAATATGGGGCCGCAACCATAAACATATGTTATCTAGATGACAGCTTTTCAATAAACACCCCCATATTGAGAGCCCTGTGGAACACCTCGAAGAACACATATTTCTGGCTGCATGAAGACATTTTTTATTTAGGTCCTGGGTTGGATCAGTTGGTTTTCCAGGCAGGGGAGAGAGAGAGGAGGGGAAAACGTTACTGGAGATATGCACTAATGCTTACTACTGATGACATGGAGCTGGATGGCCAGCCAGAGCCTACTGTAGACTTTTCCAGCCAGGGTGTGTTTTATGAAGAACAACATGGATACGGCACACATCCTTCACATAGGTCTGCTCTATTAATACAGATCACAAGCATATTACTGTCTCTCCCTCTCTGGGTAAAAGTTGTACGGTTTCCTTGACCAATTAAATTACTGGTCACAGATGCATTGGAATGAGAAAGTGGAAAATGGCAGTTAAAGCATTAGATCTTCTGCTCCTTGAGATCTCCTCCTGTCTGTTAAAGTGAATGTAAATAACATTATTTTCACTCATGATGATTCACAAGTCATGATTCACTGCAATGGGTGGATATTCAAATGTAGGCTACCAAGGCACGCCAGTATATTTCCAATACCCAGAGTAGGCTATTGCAAAAATGCAGTGTATGAGCATGCCAACAGGACTGGCACAGAATCCTATTCACAGATATTATCTGACCTGATATAGAAGATTATTGGACCTTTCTATCCTCAGCCACAGTACTGAGAAATGAGACTGGTCTAGATCAGATTATGATATTACACAAAGATGATATGATTAGCCTTGGAATGCTCCCAAAATACACTGCCTCCCTTACACTTTTCTTAGCCTACTTATCAAATTCGACTTCAATTTACTGTGTGTGCGTGTGCGTGTGTAGCCTACCTGCGTAAAAGTGTGCGAGCGTGCGTGCATGTTTAAAAAATATATTTCATGCACATTCCTGAGTTGGCTATTCATTCACTAAAGCACTCTATGATGAGACTGAATTAAAGAAATATTGAACTATTTAAAATGATGTAAAATAACAGTTGGCTATATGTGATGAGTTTGGCTTGAGAAAAGTTTCGTTTCCCATTATCGGGCTGCATGCACTCCAGAACTCCCCAGACAAAGCCGTTATCTCACCTGGACTATCTGCCGAGGCTGTACAGAGAGCGTCGGGAAGTTTCCGCGTCCGTGAATAGGGACGCTCTCTCCGAGAATAGAGTCCAACTTCTGCACCTGCTCCCAAGACAACACAGAGAACCGCCGACTCTGCGCCGACTCATCCCCAGAGGACATGACGATGGGACTGTGAAAATGTGTCAATTCTTCGGTAGTTTGGTGGATGTAGGCTATAATGGACAGTACCAAAGCAATTCCCAAAATAGGTGTTTCTTTTGATGTTGGAATGAAACTTGAAATCGTCAAGAAGTCAAACAAAATCGCTCCTGTTGCGCTTCTCAGATGTCACTTAAAACAGAAGTTTCAAAACAATCTAGGCTAAAGACAAAACAATCTAGGCTAAAGATCCGAGAGAGTTCTGCACATACAAATCATAGACCGGTAAACTGAACAGTGTGGCATCTCCCAAATTCTCCTGCGCTGTGACCGTGATACACTTCTGGCTGTAATCCAGCTAGAGGCATATTGACGGGTTTTAAGAAAATGGGATTAACATAAGCGTCCTGATTGGCTGTTCGGGAGGTTTATGAAGACCTACCTCAACATACAGAAGACTACAAGCGGCCATGCGCACACACCCACTTCCCCTGCGTCAGCAGAGGCTAGTCTGATGCTGTCATTGGATACTTCAGTCACATTTAGAAGGCCTACGCATTAGAGAGGGCTATTTACACTGTCTATTGGCTTAACACATCTTATTTTCTGTAGAGTGAGTAGACATTTAATAGCATCATAATAATAATAATAATAATAATAATAACAACAACAACAACAACAACAACAACAACAACAACAACAACAAAAACAACAATTTAATCATAAGAACAACAATTTATTAAACTGTATAGACTGATAGAGTTAGGGCTCTATTCAGTCAGAAGCACTGGAGATCCGCTTTATAGCACGATTGACAATTAAAGGCAATGTTCCAGCAGTTGTGGAGACTGCATTCCGTTCAACGCTACATACAGCATGTTGGCTCAATTGGAAATTAGGCTACCTTAACATTTCTAGTGCAACCTGTAACTCTTCAGTGATACAGATTGAATAGAGCCCATACTCTGGTTATTGTGAATTGTAAGCCTGCATTTTTCTCACTTAAGTAGGGGAAAACATTTGTTTCTGTTAGAGTGTAATTTAAACCAGTCTGTATCTCCATCATGTCTTTATTGGCAACCGTTCATTCACACGTTTCAAAACTGCCCTGACCAGCCAGCAACCTCTCACTCTATAATGCAGTGGTTCTCAAACTTTTTGGGTCCAGGGACCCATTTTGTGATCGCAAATTAATCAGGGACCCTCTCATCAGAACTCAAGTTTGATAAAATAAAGGCATTTTACTATGACTTCGGCAGTGCATGGCCAGATGAACCAAGTCTCGGGCCCTGGAAAGGAACATTTTAAAGGCCTGCCTCTTGGCGTCGGAGAGAACATTTTGCAGTTTTCAAGCAAATGTCCTGCAATTCTACACATTTTGTCATTAGGCAGAGAGATGTTTTGTTGTTATAGCTTTAAAGCTAATATCCTGAAATTCTACACATTTTCCCATGAGGCAGAGAGAAACCTTTGCGATTTTAAAGCTTAAATTACAGTGCATTTATGTTAAAAAACAAAACATTTTGGTATTGAGTTGAAAAATGTATAATTGGTGGAGTTCTATGGATACCAATATCCCAGTGAGCCTCCAGGCCCAGGATGCTCAGGGTTAAGAACATAAATTATAGATTAATAATATTGCATTGTATTGCACCTAAACTTTTATTTTATTTTGTATTAATCTGTTGTTATTAGTAATATTAATGTATTTATTTTTTATGTAAAAATAATATCAATTTTGAGATCTGGCCGCGGGCCCCCTACAGTCCGCGGACCCCACTTTGATAACCCCTGCTATAATGAAATGTCTCAGTGTGAGCATGCTTGCTTGTTTGTGTTTTTGCATGTTTGTGGAAGGTGTCTCCTGAGTGGCGCAGTGGTCTAAGGCACTGCATCGCAGTGCTAACTGTGCCACTAGAGATCCTGGTTCGAATCCAGGCTCTGTCGCAGCTGGCCGCGACCGGGAGACTCATGGGCGGCGCACAATTGGTCCAGGGTAGGGGAGGGAATGGCCGGCAGGGATGTAGCTCAGTTGATAGAGCATGGCGTTTGCAACGCCAGGGTTGTGGGTTCGATTCCCATGGGGGGCTAGTAAAAAAATAAATAAAATGTAATCACTAACTGTAAGTCGCTCTGGATAAGAGCGTCTGGTAAATGTAATGTAAATGTGTCAGCCTGTTACTCATTCTCCCTCTACCAGTCTCCCTCTCACAGCTTATGAATATGAGGGGCCCTGATGAGACTAGTCAAGTTGAGCCAACAAGCAGAGAGGGTGGCATCATCACGGGGCATCATTGAACTGAGCAGCTTTTTGTCAACATATAGACTGTTTCCCTGGTAACAGCCTCTCCTGTCTTGGTGCTTGGTGTGACTGACAGGACAGACGTGACGTGGGGAAGGCACCTGCTTCACTAGGCTAATAATACCCCAGAACCAGGGGCAGGAGGGCCTCTCTGTATTGTCTCTCCTCCCTCTTTCCTCACCTCTCATCCCTCTCTCCTCACCATCCTCCTCTCTCAATTTCTAAAGAATCCCTGGTAGCAGTGTGCGAATGAGAACCACTTGACATTCTGTCGTGACAGTGAGTGGCTGGGTGGGTATAGGAGTAAAAGTGCTGGTTAATATCCGTGTCCATGTTGTTGTATGGAAGATCACACCTAAAGGTGAACACTACAGGGGAGAGTGCAGAGTTAAAGGCAAATACATGCTTGGCCCATGTGTCTAAAGAGCAAACAGGTGTGTGTGTGTTTTGAATGAGGAAGTGACAATAGGTCATAGTTACAGATACCTCAGGCCGTGTTAGTTACACTTCCATTATCGTCAATTGGAAAACAGGTTTTACACAGGCACCAGGATTAAAGAGCAATACCATCACGCAGACATGCATGGGAGTGGCACTTCTATTCAAATGGTTTATTATCAGCTGCCTGGTGGCATGGTGCCAACACTAGAGGCTGGATCTATGTATGCTGTCCAAGCCTGCTCCTCTCAAAGAGCTAGAACAAGAAAAACATAATCAGAAAGGAAGGACATGTCTTTCGACCTCAGAAACCTATCACACAGCTGTACACATGTTCCATTAATGAAGATGGATATAACTTTATTGAAATGTACAGTTTGGACGATACCACAGTGGAGAGGATAATAGCGGGGCATCTTAATGGATTAGGTAACAGTTCCACCAAAACCATGGAAACGCCACACACTCCTCCCCCCGTGGGAGATAGATCCAGAATCTCCTCATTGTCGGCCGTCATACTCAGCCTACATTTAGAATATTGTTTATACGTGTATTTCTCACTTTGTTGGGGTAGAAATTTGAGTATAATGCTTGTATGGATGTCATTCCCAATACATTGTATTATCATCACCACCAATCAGCATTCCATTGATCTCTTACCTAATGTATGGCAAAGCCATTATACTGTATATCCATTCTGAACAAAGAGTTCCAGCAGAGTCTGTATGCTGTGTGTGTGTGTGCGTGCGTGTGCATCTGTGTGGGTTGGGGGGTTGGTGGAGAGGTGGAGTTGGATTGATGTGATGAAATAGTTTCTTGAAGTATAAATCAGACACCATTCATCATGTTCCTGATTAAAGACACCCATCTTTACTCAACTTCCTTAGTTTGTCCCCAAACCACAGATATGCCACAGATACACCGTTCTCTTTACCTAGTATTAGTGATTGCCACATTAGCTTCATGTTGCACTACAGGATACAATGGTTGTAAAACAAACACACAACCTGGAAGGACAAAGCTGTTGGGATGATAATGTACAGTAGTGCTGGGTGTTGAAGGAATAAGGAGGTGTTGTCCACGCTCTGTTTGGCTTGAGGCCTCATCTGAGAGAGGATGTTGCCCAGAGAGCTAAGGAATAAGCAAACCAAGACCAAGTCGTATTTAACCAAAGGGTAGATGAGGAGAATGGATGGATTTATTTTAGTAATATATTTCTTCTTCTCTACTGATGTCCTGGTCCAGTCGTTCCCCTCAAGGCAAGGAAGGAATGTGAACAGTACGCTAACGTCATTCACACACACAAGCATGCACACGCACGCGCAAAAACACACGCACACACTTACGCACTAACTCACACACACCGACATGGAGTCGCAGATGTTGGTAGGACTCCAGTGTTGACAGGTGAAACAAGGAGGTTGTCAACAGAGCTTTTTGTTCAAAGGAACACACAGTGGATACAATAACAGGCTTTATGAGCGTACATCACAATGTGTCGGATGTAGCAGGGCTTGCAAAATATTACAGACTACAAAGGGAAGCACAGCCGCGGGCTGCCCAGTGACACAAGCCTACCAGACGAGCTAAATCACTTCTATGCTCGCTTCAAGGAAAGCAACACTGAAGCATGCATGAGAGCATCAGCTGTTCCGGATGACTATGTGATCACACTCTCCGTAGCCGATGTGAGTAAGACTTTAAAGCAGGTCAAAATTCTCATTATTACCAGGACGTGTACTCCGAGCATGCGCTGACCAACTGGCAAGTGTCTTCACTGACATTTTCAACATGGCCCTGACTGAGTCTGTAATACCAACATGTTTCAAGCAGACCACCATAGTCCCTGTGCCCAAGAACACTGAGATAACCTGCTTAAATGATTACCGACCCGTAGCACTGACGTCTGTAGCCATGAAGTGCTTTGAAAGGCTGGTCATGGCTCACATCAACACCATTATCCCAGAAACCCTAGACCCACTCCAATTTGCATACCGCCCCAACAGATCCACAGATGATGCAATCTCTATTGCACTCCACACTGCCCTTTCCCACCTGGACAAGAGGAACACCTACGTGAGAATGCTATTCATTGACTACAGCTCAGCGTTCAACACCATAGTGCCCTCAAAGCTCATCACTAAGCTAAGGATCCTGGGACTAAACACCTCTCTCTTTAACTGGATCCTGGACTTCCTGACGGGCCACTCCCAGGTGGTAAGGGTAGGTAACAACACATCTGCCACGCTGATCCTCAACACGGGGGCCCCTCAGGGGTGCG